CAAGAGTCAGTATCTTTTTCATATCAAAAACCATAAAGATTACAAGGACTATATTACTCACAACTGGTCAAAAACAGATCCTACACACTAGGGACCTAGAAACCTTCTCCGGCCATTAATGGTCATCGGAGGATATCATCCATCCACTTGGAAGAAGATGGGAATGCAAAGTACAATTAAAAAGATAAGAACACCAGCTGTAAGCATTCTAAAAACAGAAAATGGAATTAGCCGTTGCACATTTGAACCTAACGGCTACTTGCTAAACATAGCAAGTTCTTCATCTCTTCGATTTCAGTATTCTCTTCACTTCTTTCTGCAGGATTGTCATCTGCAGTTCGATATTAAGCTAGTATGCAGCTTAAATCTCAACAGAGAAAAGTTCAATAAAGTATGCACGCAAAACAAGTCTAATATCTCCATGCAAAATTACACATAGAGTTCAGATCCTGCGATATTTCTTCACACGACTTAAGTGTAGACTCGACAAAGCTAAAATCAATACTAGAACTTTCAAATATTGAAGCATGATCCATATCCTCAATACGCTTAATTTCCATCTGATCCAAGAGCGTCTCATTTTCTTGCTGTAGAACTGCTTCTCCCTTTGACTGCTCTCCCAATAGTATTCTTGGTGCTTCAAAGGGATCAGCACCAGAAAGCCAGATGTTACAATTTTCCAAGAGACCAAACACTGATAGGTTCACCGAGGAAGACGACCATGAAGAGGGAATATTATTGATCAGTGTGCTGTGATCAGTGGATGGTTGATGAGGTAACCTGGTGATGTCATTGAAGGTAGGATCCTCAACTTTAGTCCAAGAAGCATTACTAGGGTTTTGATCAAGATCATGATATTGATCAGTACGTAATGTCACATTAATAGGTGATGCATTTATTTCTGTGAAAGGCACTTGAATGGGTTGCTGTTGACTATGTAATTGCAGTAGTGGTGATTGGCTACTGCTTGCAACCTTGTTAGAAGCTGATCTCTGATGATGAGAATTAGGAAGCAAGTTATGGGTTTTTGGGTCCAAACCTTGTTACATGAGCTTTTTCTTAATTCATGAATTCCAGAAATTCTTCACCTCATTGTCTGTTCTTCCGGGGAGATGCTTGGCAATCTGAGCTCATCTGTGACAACCAAACCAAACAACATCAAATTGCGATGAATCCACCTTTTCTTTCGCCTTTTTGGCATATGAAGAAATAGAGTAATGTTAGAGAGAACACATTTAATTCACACTCACTACTAGAAAATCTTATTTTGCCGACAAATTCTAAGCCGACAGAGTAAAATTTTATCGGCACAAGAGTCCTCTACCGACTAAAATTTTAATTTGTCGACTAAATATTCAAGCCAAAACCAATTTATAGCATTAATTTTAGCTGAGAAAATTCGAATGTTAACCGACCATCATTTTGTCGGCATAAATGCAATGTCCCGACTAGTTTAATTTTGACGGGTAAATTGTCCTTCCCTGCTATCTTAGAATACTAGACGACGATTTCGGGGCAACAAAAAATATTTCCTCGGCTGAGGGTAAAACTATTAACCAAAAATGAGGCGCGGAATAAAAGCGCGATTTCAAATTGGAAGCGCGGTTTCAAAATAGAAGCGCGGAGTTAGAAAAAAAGAAAGAAAAGAATTAAGCGCTTTAGTCAAGCACGAAGATGTTGTCTCTCCGTCCCACTCCTTCTCCCTCTCCCTCTCCCTGGTCGCTGCAAATACACATACCGACCGACTGCCTCCTTCCGCTGGAGATCGAAACCGACGTCAAATTCAAAGCCCTCGAAAAGGTTTTTTTTTTCTTTCCCTTCTAATTGTCATCTTCAATTCTAGTTCTGGTGCATAAACCCATCAGTTGTCTCTGTAATTCTCTTAAGGTTTTCAATTTTCTTTTTCGATTTGTTTTGTCAAAATTGAAATGGAATTTGTGGGCTTGAATTTGTATTAGGTTGCGAGCCTATTGTGTGTTATGTTTATTAGGGTGGATAAAAAAAAAAACCATCAAAGCTGCCAAGAACTCGAAGGTCAGTGATCTCTGCAAGTGATTATCTTCATTCTCCTCTCTAATTCTATGTCTGCCAGTTCAATTTGTAGAATTTAATATAGGGTTTTAAGTTGGAAAATTTAATTTAACCTTTTAAGTTGCAGGGCTTGGTGTATACGACAATTTGGATTATTAATTTTGATTGCTGATCCACTTCCTAATCCCCACATGTTATTTGTGACTCGACCGAACACAGAGGGGCGAATGTTTTGTGGAAGGGATTGAGGAACAGGGCGAAGGTTTTGGAATCTGCACTAGATGATGCTGATAGTAAAGATTCGTGTAATGCCACATCTCAATTCTTTTGTTCCAAGTAATGTTGTAATATATAACTTTTTCAATTGTGGCTTCCTGTTATCTATGATTGGTTGTGATGTTAATATTAAATTACATTCTTTTTGGTGTTCTAGCTATGTTGATCGTGGTTTCTGGTTTTGATTGTGACCAAAATTTTGTTGTGGTTGAGTCTTAGTTTACTATGTAACATGCAGGATCCGACATTGAAGAATGTTGCAAGGCAAGTGATGTAGAGAAGACGAGAGCTGCAACTGCAGTTAATAACATCTTGTCCGGAGTTAATGGCCATATTAGTTTGTGGGAAGAGATCCAGCTTATCAGGGGTAGGCCTTCTCAGTTCAGCCTTAATTTTATCTCTTACAATCTTACTGATGATTGTACTTTTTGTTTGCTTTGATATGGTTGTGTTGCCTTGCAGAACTGATCTGCACTTACCAGACATGCCTTTAGTTTATGCAAGTGATGCCTTCTTCAAATTGACAGGTAACATGTACAATGTTAGCTATTTGCCAGGATCTCTCTAAACCATTCTAAACTCCATGTTGTTTGCAAATCTTTTGAATAATCCAACATATGTAGTTGTTACACAACTCATATGTAGATGTGGTAACATGTGCAAGTCTATATTAACTTAGTCTTCTCTTCATCGAAATTATAATAATAATACTATTAAATTAGTCTTGTTATTTTTATTCCAGGTGCGCCTGATTGAAGTTAATGTAGTTGCACTTGCTTATGAGGCTGGTGATGGTGAATTTTATCTCAAGTATATCGTATAAATTATCCCTCTGTTATGTTTTCTCATCGGTTCCTAACTTGTGTTACTCTCCCATTCAGCTGATGACAAGAATATATTGTATATTTTGTCCCCCTATTGTGCACAACACACTGAGCAAGGAGCTTTGTACAGGTAAGTTTGATTGTGCTAGGAATATATTGTATGTTTTGCTTTCTCTGCCTTGTGTTTATTCCAAGTACATGGACGAATAGTTTGATTATGTCTATCCTAGACATGAGCAAGGAGCATTGTGTAAGCAATTTTGATTCCCCAATAAGTTACAATTGTCGTCATTAATACAATTTGATCAAGTTGTGAGAAATTTTTTATGTTTGAGGATTTTCTTTGTATTCTTGAGGGCTACTAATTAATCCCAGAGTTGAATATCTTTTAATTATTATTGCGTAACTTATTGTACCTTCTTTCATTCATTTTTATTTGCATCTTATTAAGGGATTAAAGAGTACCTCTCAAATGGCAGGTGGTCTGAGATGTTGATTGCAAGGTTTGAAATGTCTTTTACTATGTGCTTGATTACATGAGTACATGCTTTATCATCCAAGATGCAAGTGAAATTCAAGTCTGACTATATGCTTGATTACGGGATTACATGCTTTCTTGTTGACAAATTGGTTAAGTTTTCATTGTTTAGTGTAACTATGGTGTTAATTGCAGCCCATCCCCATTTTCTAACAGATTGTTATGTTAAAGTATCTTCAATTGAATGTATCTTTTTCATGATGTTGTGTGAATCAGTGCAGCTCCATAATGTTATTACTTATAGAAAGATTCCTAGCTACAATTTGATTGTTTCGGTTTTAAGGATGCTCTTTCTTATGTTGTCATACATAATAATTACGATTTTGTATTATTTTTGTAGGATATTATTGCGAAGCTACTGCTAAACCGATAATTGAGGAATGGGAGTAGAATAGGATTATTGTATAATATAATACTTTGTATAACCATTGTACATATACATATTACTAATCAAAGCAGCATTATTAGAAATTATTTTGTGTGTTTTCAAGCTTTTTTTTTTTAATGAATTAAAATTCTTTCCCGACAAAGCTAATTTTGTCGATAGAGTAAGGCAGTGCCGACAAAATATCTTTTCCGACGAACATATCTTGTTGGCAAAACGGTGCATTTTGTAGGCTTAAAAATCCTTTTCCGACAGAATTTTTTGTTGGGGTTTAAGAATGCCGGCAAAATATGTTTTGTCGGGAAATAACCACTTCATAGCCGACGAAATGTTGAATTTTGTCGGCTAGAGTCTTGCACGACATGCTTTGCGTGACAAAATGGCCGACAAATTTTTTCGTCGTGAAAGAGTCTTTACCGACAAATTTTGACTTTTGCCGACAAATTCATTTTATCGGTAAAGTCAAAATTTCTAGTAGTGACTATATGAGTTGAAATTAATGGTGTGGTGGTGCTACTACTAATTAATTAACAACTGAGCATAATAATTGATGTAATTCAACTACTGATCATAATCGACGGCCTCTTATCTTACATTTTTTGTTTAATAATATTATCTGTTGGGGGGGTGAGCTAGTAATAATGTGGTTCAAATTCGTCTTTTGGCGAGAATCTAACCTACGACTTTTCACTTACAATTGAAGAGGAATACTACTAGACCGTAGTACTAAGTGACTCTTATCTAACAATATTATTTGTGGGGGGGGTGGGCTAGTAATAATGTGGTTCAAATTCGCCTTTTGGCGAAAATCTAACCTAAGACTTCTCACTTACAATTGAAGAGAAATACTACTAGACCATAGTACTAAGTGACTCTTATCTAACATTTTTAAAGAAACGAAGTATTGTTTGACAAAAAATTAAAAAAAAAAAGGTTAATTAAATCCTCACTTGTTGCCCAAAATTCTGTGAACATCAATGATAGTCTGTTCTTCTTCAGGAGTAAAGGATCCCCTCTTGAGTTCGGGTCTCAAATAGTTTATCCATCTCAACCTGCAACTCTTGCCACACCTCTGCAAGCCTGCCATGACCCCGAGCTAAAAATGAAACTTTCTCACTCACAAATTCATGAACTTGAAAAATGTAATTAATCAAGTATATGTATACCTGCATGTTTTGGGACAGAACTCCAGCTGTCATGACCATGGGTGGTAATGTGTTTGCTAAGCTTCTCATCTTCTTCAGGCGACCATAGACCTCTCTTCACCTTCTGTTTGCCGCAGCAGCGGTGGCCCATCTCAGCCCAGCTTACACTCTTCCTGATTTTGTATTTCATACATGTGAAAGGCCATCACTCTAAGGGGCGGTTTCTGTGCTTGTCATTAGTAATGAATTATGTACACACAATATATGTACATATATATAGACATATACTTGTTTATAATCAGATATAAATTATGTCAGTTTTCAAACCAAATAGTAATAACAGAAATGTTTAGTAATAACAGAAATGCCACGTGACACTATTTCAGTAGTGGAGTTTGTTAGTATAGTTAGAAGGGTATTATTGTAATAGGGATATATGGCTATATAAGGGATTGTATAACTATTATTTTCATTAAGTTCAATTGAATACATTCTTTGAATTCCATCAATACAATCTCTCTGGTTGCTCTCTATCATTTTCCTCTTCCTCTGTACCAATTATCCATCTTTTACAATGTAGTTAACAAATAGATGGTCAATTATTTGATTACTTAATTAGTGTAAGAGAGAGACCCCTATGTACTACTGTGTCTGACCGACACATGCATGACCGAGGCCAAGGCAACCTTTAAGTATAATATATGTTCGATATTCATAATTGATTGCTACACGATTACATGCATGCACATTCTTTCTTCAATAATGATCCTACTGTAAGAAAAAAAAATGCACCCAACTTTCTTAAGACAACGTACCCCATAATGCATTTTAAGGACTGAAACCATTCATATTTTAGGCCTCTCAATCAAAGGCTATCTCTAAAAAAAATTATCCAAATTAAAAACTATTCTTTAGATATATGACTAAAATGGAAATGCCGATAAATAAATGGCTATACAATTACTAATTTAGTATTTGACATGTATAATTACACCAATAAAGAAAGAACATATCCCTAATGTTAATAGAACACAAGACATCTACAATTATATGTGGACAAAATATATGTTTTGTTATATATATACAATATATGCAAGTGGTGCATTGTCCTAGTGGTTAGAGTCTTCATCTTCAATCCATTGTGTACCAGATTCAACCTTCTGTCTCCCTTCAATGTAGCTTAGAGTAGTAATATCACTTGTAATAAAAAAAAATTCTATGATTAGATAAACTGCTGCCAACGATTATTCAAGCTTATATAAGTGCTTCTCAAATTTTGGTTGTAGATGTGATTTAGACCAGCACGTCCCTCCCCATTGCAACCAAGTTTAAATTCCCGTATATTAGAGTAGTTTATTTAGGGGCTAGCTATTTGATAAATATATTTTGTTTTCAGAATTTTTTTTTAACTAAAAATTTGTTGAAGAACTTATTCCAGTTTTCGTATGGTTACAAAATGAACCCTAGCGGGCTCACATAACATAAAAACAGGTGATGTTATATTTAGACATACAAAGCCACATTTGCTGAATATTTTTATTATTTAGTTAAATGCGTCAGTTTTGTGTGTCTAAATAATTTGATTATTTCATTAATGCTAGAGCTAGAAATTTATATAGGAATGGGCTATTTTTTTTTCATGGTAGTATGTAGTGAATTTAAGCATTGAGAGTAGGCTAAATTTTGTTTTCTGCAATATTAGACCGTAACATGCTTATTTTAACACCAAAATTTTGCCCTTCTCGTAAGCCAACTGTGACATCCCACATCGCCCAGGGGAGTGATCCTTAAATGTATATTCTCATCCCTACCTAGCATGAGGCCTTTTGGGAGCTCATTGGCTTCGGGTTCCGTAGGAACTTCGAAGTTAAGCGAGAAGGAGGCCAGAGCACTCCTAGGATAGGTGACCCATTGGGAAGTTGCTCGTGAGTTCCCAAAAACAAAACCATGAGGGAATGTGTTTGGACCCAAATTTACACCATCGGCCCGTGCAATCAAGGCCGTTGAGTGAGCATAGCTCTCAATCGTTGGATGACAAAGTAAAGATAATTTTTATCATTATTAAAGGATAATATTATGATTTTAATCATGATGTTATCTCTTAGTAATATATTAAATTATTATTTGATTATATCTCAATTGCCTTTGGATAAGATGTTGGTTTTGGCCACGTGATTATGTGTTTTGGGGATTAGATTCATAGATTCTATCTTATTTTGCGTGCATAGCTGCACTTGGAAGCAAAGTGGTGAACATAAAGTTCTAATTGGACTAGGAGATAGTCCACGGTTTCTTTTGAGGCATGCAAAGGATAAGGAAGAATAACAAATGTTTTTTTTAATAATGGTGAGGAAGTTGTCAGGTGATGGAAGGTTTGAAAGGCCATCAAATATATATATATATATATATATATATATATATATATATATATATATATAACTGGTAGGCAGTCGGCATGCTATGGAAAGCGCAATACACGTGGAAGGCAAACATCGTTATCAAGGTGGTTTTTGGCAGTGCTTCCTTTATTGCCGAGTCTAGGAGATAATGATGCCTCTAAAAAAATATGTTGCTGCTTATCTGGAGAAATCTTGACCGGGATTCTAGCTGACGAGTTTGAATTAAAATCAAATCTTGCAGTAGTGTGAAGCTGCGCCACACAACATTTGTTCCTATAAATACAGATACAGTGGCAACGGGAAGGGGACCTCCAACACACACAAAACTGCCCTGCGCAAACTTTCTCAACACCTTGAGATTTTTTATTTTCTTTTTTCGCCGACACATCTTCCGTTGGCATCAACAGCACTGTGAAGGCAACCGGTGATATCTTAAGTCGGCATAGATAGCTCTGTCACCGTAGAATCAGCCGATCTCGCAGCATCTTCCGTTGGCATCAACAGCACTACGGCGAGGACGACTGGTTACCTATCCAAGTCTCGGTCGAGAAGGATTTCCGAATCCTCATTGGTCGAGGTCATCTCATCAGCCTTCTCGGCGAAGTGGGGTGTTACCAGGTTACTGTATTCGGCACATTGACAGCCGAATTTGAGATTGAACTTCGCAAATTAGCAGCCTTGTCTTCAGGCTCTAGAACCCAAGAGGCCGAGAATTGTTCCTTCCTCGGCCGCAATCGCAAGACACAAAAAATCAATACAAAATTGCCCTGCGCAAACTCTCACAACTTGAGATCTTTTTCTTTTCCTTTTTCGCTGACACATCTTCCGTTGGCATCAACAGCACTGTGGAAGCAACCGGTGATATCTTAAGTCGGCATAGATAGCTCTGTCACCGTAGAGTCGGTCGGTCTCGCAGTATCTTCCGTTGGCATCAACAGCACTGCGGCGAGAACGGTCGATTGCCTATCCAAGTCTCGGTCGAGAAGGGTTTTCGAATCCTTGTTGGTCGAGGTCATCTCATTAGCCTTCTCGGCGAGGTGAGGTGTTACAGTTATTACATTCGGCACATTGTAAGCCGAATTCGGTTCGTGAACTTTGTAAGAAATAGCAGCCTTGTCTTCAGGCTCGAGAACCCAAGAGGCCGAGACGCGTTCCTTTCTCGGCCGCAATCGCAAGACGCAGAAGTCAGTAGCGCGACCCAACGCAGCATCATCAAATTTACTCCTCGGCCGAGCCTCGGCCGACGAGTTGGCACGCCCCGCAATCACCGAAGGACGTAGTTAGCTTAGAATATATTCGGCCTGCGCGCCACGTAGGCTTTGTAATTTCTAGGGTCAACAGAATGGTAAGCCCAAAGCGGACAATATTGTGCTACGGTGGTGGAGCGGGCCTAGGAAATGATCCGCCCTGGGCCGGGATGTGACAATTTGGTATCAGAGCCTAACCTTGGCCGTGGTGTGCTGACGAGGACGTCGGGCCCCTAAGGGGGGTGGATTGTGACATCCCACATCGCCCAGGAGAGTGATCCTTAAATGTATATTCCTATCCCTACCTAGCATGAGGCCTTTTGTGAGCTCACTGTTTTCAGGTTCCGTAGGAACTTCGAAGTTAAGCGAGAAGGAGGCCAGAGCACTCCCAGGATGGGTGACCTACTGGGAAGTTGCTCGTGAGTTCCAAAAAAACAAAACCGTGAGGGAATGGTAAGCCCAAAGCGGACAATATCGTGTTACAGTGGTGGAGTGGGCCCGGGAAATGATCCGCCCCGGGCCGGGATGTGACAAGCACTCCCAGGATGGGTGACCTACTGAGAAGTTGCTTGTGAGTTCCCAAAAACAAAACCGTGAGGGAATGGTAAGCCCAAAGCGGACAATATTGTGCTACGGTGGTGGAGCGGGCCCGGGAAATGATCTGCCCTGGGCCGGGATGTGACACCAATGGTCGCTAATTACCACTTCATCACAAAACTCATGTCAAGCTTATGTTCATTTTATGCCAGTGTTACCCTAATTAAACAGATAAAAAGCAAATATACTAAGGCTAAACAAGTAACTAGAGTCTTTTTGATAAAATTAATAAAAGATCTCTGCAAAATTTGGTCTTTACTCTTTCTCTATATCTCTTTCTTCTCATTCAGTAACTGTGAAAGCTTTCTAGTCACTATTGCTATAGGCAAAAACGTATGTGCATGCTTGCTTTAACAAGCAAGCTCTCCCCTTTAATTAATTGCTCTGCCAAAGTAAACAAAAAGCCTCCACTACAAATATATATATACAAAAAAAGTTGGGTTTCCAAAAAACGTGCAAGTGATCATCAGAATATTCATAGGAAAAGAAACTACATTAATTGATAAATTGTTTGAGGTATATATCATATTACTTTCACTTATGGAATACATCTGATAGTTAATGATAATAATGAGAGAGGGTACTGTTGATTAACCCAAGAATGTGACAAGAGGCCATTATATTGCACTAAAACGAAGCTTCCTACGTTGATCAATCCCTATAATCATCTCGGCTAAAACCAAATACTGGCTCTTACCTTTCAAGCTACTTATGCGTGTTTTCCCTTGTCTTAGAGTGCATCCCAGTCATGCTTCATATTCTAAGTTCAATTTAACTAAAAGGACTAGAAGCATAATGACTAGGAGCAATTAGAAATTGGAGTACAGTTCAAGAGACCACGCATTCCAAAATACTATTATTTCCACCACAATTACAAAACTCATCAAAAATAGGATAAAATTCGTGCCACGTATGACTTCTTCCTAA